GCTGTGCGTGGACCTGGCTGGTAAGATCATGGCCATCCAGGAGGTGAGCATGCTACTATGAAATGTGTCTGACTTCTTTATGTTACTCTCTCTCCTATCTCTCTCATGCTCTATGACTTTAATCTGTATGTCTCAACCGTACAGTTGTGCTCACTGAACCCGTGATTAGTTGTGGGGGGCTGGCCTTTCCTCCACAAATGGCACCCAATGTGGGGCATTAGAAAAGAACTCTTTTGGGTTATACCCTGTGTAACAATTGTACGGCCCCACTGGAATGTAGAGTGAATCAGAAAATTGTGTGAAGTGAGGATCCAGTGTGGGGATTGGCAGATAAGTTGTGGAAATAGTGAATGCGTATTTCAAGAAGACAATGGGGCAAGGTAAAAGTAGACCTGGGACTTATGGTACTACGCTCATCCACTTACTGAAAAGACAGGGCGTAAAAGTAACAAAGAAAAAGATGCAATGTTTTCTAAAAGTAGTAAAAAGGTACAATCCATGGTTCCCAGAGGAAGGAACTTTCGATCTAGAGACCTGGGAGGAAGTCATTGTAAACTTAAGGAAAGCATACAGAGATGGGGAGAATATCCCCATGGAGACATGGTCTCTGTGGGTTCACGTGAGACATGGTCTCTGTGGGTTCACGTTAAGATGGTTTTAGTACCTTTGCAGGAGGAAGAGAATGCAGATTATGCATTGAGATAATGCAGTGAGAAGTCTTGTGTCTATCCAAATCTAGGAGAGCAAGCTAAAGTGTCTTTGAGTATGATTTAGGTGATGAAACTTTAGGAAAAACTGAAGAAGCAGGGATTGATTTGTTATCTAAGGCCTCCGATTCTAAAGGAAACCTCATGGCCAAAGCCTATCTGTCCTCGGGGGACTGCAGCAAGTTAGCGAGAAGCCTCTGAGAGACCCGAACTTAAATCCAGTGAGAGTCAGGCAGAAAGGGTACCAGGCAGATGAGATTTTAGTCAGAGCTGAGAAAACTAAGTCTGAGTCAGAAGGGGACATCACAGTGAAAGCATCTGCTCCCCTGATGGAATGTAGTATAAGACCAGAGATTCTAAAACAATTAACCAAGCCAGTGCTGGAGGTAGAGAGATTAGCTCCAAAGAAATGCACAGAATGTTAACTAAGAGCTAACAGAGAAGATGAAGTTCGGAAGTGGAGCTTCAAGATATACCAGCACAGAAAAAGAAAAGCCAAGAGGCAAAGTATAGGAAAGCACCTTTACTTTCAAGGGTAGAAAGGGGGACTGCAGAAGAAGGAGATTTAGAATTTAGAATGTCTTATCCTGTTAGAGTTGCTAACAAGACAGCCTTAAGGGAAACACCCACAAGGAATTCACGGTGCCTTCCCCTTTGAGTTGCTAAAAGATCTTTAGCAGGCAGTCAATATCTATGGCCCAGACTCACATTATGTAGTTAGCATGCTATGGGTTTTAGCAGAGTCTGAGAGCTGGACCCCTGCTGACTGGAGAGTTGGGGCAAAAATTTGTCTTTACCCTTCAGAATTTTTACAATATTGTATGTGGTGGGATTTTACAGCCCATTCACAAGCTTGTGAGCATGCAGAGGATGGGATAGATATAGGAATTCATCAATTGCTAGGGGATGTGAATTATGTCACAGTTGAGTCCCAACTACAGTTTACTGAACAGACAATAGTACAGAGATGTGAGATTTGCCTAAGGGCCTGGGAAAAGATAATTCCATCAAAAGAGAGAAAGTCAAGTTACACAGCTATAAGACAGCGGAATGATGAATCCTATGCTGACTTTGTGTCCCAACTGGAAGAT